TGTGACCTTGATAGAGAGGTAGTCTTTGAGGTCTCATATATGCTCAAGTCACACCCAGTGTCTCAGCTCACTTCTTGTTGCCTTCAGAGCAAGATGTAGAATTCTCAGCAACTTCTCTAGCACCATGTCTGCCTGCCTGCTGTCATGTCCCACCCACCTGATGATAATATATGATGAACCTCTGAATTGTAATCCACCCCAATTAATTGTTTTCCTTTCTAAGAGTTGCTGTAGTCATGGTGTCTCTTTACAGCAACAGAAATCCTAAGACAGTAATTGAATGAATGGTTAAGAAGGGATGAAGAGAAAGCTCTTCCTAAAAGTTGAATTTCAGTTAATAGAGAGGGGAAAATGGAAATACAAAATCACCAATTTGCGTGGTGTGTATGTGGAGGTCATGGAACAACACTGAGTGTCTGTATTTGCCTTCCATCTTGAGACAGTATCTCGTTTTTTTGTTGTTTCAGGCGAGCTGGGCTGTGACCTTGTAGGGATTCTCCTTTCTCTGTCCCCCACCTCTTCATAGGAGCACTCAGATTACAAATGCATGCTATAGCATTAGGCTTTTACATGGGTTCAAGATCAGGTTCTCATGATTGTGTGGCAAATACTTTACTCATCTCCCATGCCCTATAGTTGCCTTGGGTAAGGTTTAGCCACACATGGTAAAATCATTGCAGAAGTATGAAAAACAGATTACATAATCTCAAATAACTCCTCACAAGATTCTTATTAATTACAAAGGAAAAATAATATTTTATTGTAGATAACTTGGCATATGAAAAACCTACCTAAAATATGAGTTGATATTCTACTCAGTGAGACAGATCAATATCACATACCTTCTTCTCTGCACCCTGAGAAGGGCATAACATCTCATTTTTGTAATACTCTAGCCATAAATACATCATATATATTTAGTCATGAAAAAAATCACAGGAACATGATTGAAAAACACTCTAACAAATACCTGGAATAAACTTTTAGGTAGTATTGATATCATGAAAAATGAAGAAATGTCATTGTCTAGAGGAGAGGAACAAGATATGACAGTAAATATATTGTGTCACCCTGTAGCCAATCAAGGACCTGTAAGAGGGAATTAATGAGCAATCTGAGTACTTTGCAATCAAGCCTGTAGTCAATTGTATCAGTGAAACTTCTCTCTCTTTTTTAATCTTTGGCAACACATGTATTATGGTTGTATAAGATGTGAATATTTTAGGGAGCTGGATTAAGGTAAACATGAAGAATTAACACACACACGCACGCACGCACACACACACACACACACACACACACACACACACACACACACTTTTGAGGTGGAATCTTTTTCACCTCAAACTATGTAGCCCATGTTGGCCTCAAACTCATGATCCCCCTGCTTTAACCTCCTGAGTTCTGGAATTACAGTTGTGTACCATCATGCTTAGCATTCTTACACTTCTTTTGCAATATTTTTCTAAGTCTGAAATTGTTACTAAATGAAAAGCTAAGAAAGGAGATAGTCTTTGACAAATCTCTTTCCTCTCTGAATCTAGTTTTCTTTTGTTAAAACTTTGTTCACAGTGAGAGAAAGCTGCTTAAGATAATCAACTCATAAAGAAGAAAGGTGTATTTTGATTCATGGTTTCTGAGGCACTAGTCCTAGTTATTTAGCCCCATTGTGCAGGCACAATACAGCATGATGGGAGCACATGGTGGAGTTGCTGCTCACTATAGATGGAGTTTTCCTGTCCCGATCACTTGCTCCCAAATAACTGATACAGAGGCTTATATTAATTGTAAATTCTTGTTCAATAGTTCAGGTTTATTACTAACTAGCTATTACATTTTAAATTAGCCCATATTTTTTGTTAACCCTCTGCCTCATTGCAGTACCTTTATTAGCATGGCATGTTCATCTCCCGCTCTCTCTGCATCTGCCTTTGACTGCATCCTTTGACTCTGCCTTTCCTCATCTCATCATTCTCAGTTTGGCTTTCCTGCCTAATATTTCCTGTTCAGCTACTAGCCACTCAGCTTGTTTATTAAACCAATTACAGTGACACGTATTCACAAAGTATAAATAAATAAAGTATAAATAAATAAATAAAGGAATATTCCACAACATCTCACCTCCTGGCAGTCAGGAAGCAAATACCTAGGGAGAAGGGAGGAATCAGAACCCTATTATCCCCTTCAAAGGCATACCTCTAATGACCTACCTTCCTTAAAGTAGGCCCTACCTCTTAAAGATTGTAACATTTCCCAGTAGGGACATAAAGGTGATATGGCTGTGGCTTCTGTCACTCAGTCGATCATCAGAGTTGATTTTGTTGGCTAAGCTGGTGCCCCCTTTCCTCCTCACTGCTTCATGTGTGTCCTTCCAGAAGCTGCAGGCTCCAAAAAGGTTGAAGATGACAACCTTCCCTTATGGAGGAGAACTATTCTTCCATCAAGGGCACCTGAGAGGTTGGGCTCCACTGTTAGAACCTACAAATGATTTCACATGGTCCTCCATCTCCTAATAGCATCACAGGCTTGTAAACAAAATTTGATATGTAGAATGTTGGATCCAAACTGTAGTGTTGCTCATCTGTATGAGGAGCAGGGCAATCATCCTAGTCTACTTACACTATAGTGTCAGGATGAAAAAATGGACCAGTATAAAGAGCGATGTGAATGTTTTAACATGTAAAAAACTATTCTTGCTGTTAGTAATAGCAACTCTACTGTCTTGAACTGCTACAACTTGAGAGGGTTCCTGCCAAATCAAAAGCATCTGGACACAAACCACTTCCAGCCATGCAGAATGCCCTCATCCAAGGAAGTAAGAATGCTGTCTTTGTGGCTGGATGGCTGTTGTCAAGGAGATGGCTCCAGATAGCCCAAACAGCTGATGGGAATGATGTCACTTCTGGGCTTGGCAGAAAGAAAAACCACAATGAGAAAAACGGAGCAATGGCCTCTCTGTCTATAACCATGAATATGCTACAGTAGCAGGAAAAACAACTTCCGATACAGTTTTTCTTTTGTATAATTGATTCTATTTTCAGTTTCATCAAAGTTTAAGCTCATAACCCACAAATATGGCCTACTGAATAGGACAGGGATTAATGAATGGGAACTTCCTATGGGTTCTTTATGGTTCTCTACTCCATTTTTGTATGTGGGAAAGCAAAAGAACTGAAAGGGGAAGAGGTTACAAAATGAGCTGTAGTTAGAATCTAGGCATCCACACTCCTGAAATCCTATCACAGCCACCTTGAGACATCTCCTTAAAGAATAGAATCTGTTGATTATAGCATTTAAGTACTATGCTATCTACACTAGACTTTATGTCTTTCTTTGATTTCTGTTTTTGTTACATTTTATACATACATACATACATACATACATACATACATACATACAGTTTGCTATCATCATATTCATCACCTCACATTGCGCTCTTCTGTTCTCATGCACTCCTGATGACTCCTTTGTTCTTTCCAACTAGTCTCTTACTTTCCTGTCCTTTTTCTCCCCACTAAGTTTAAATAGGGTTGCTTATATGAGCATGGATGGGGGTTATTCATTGGAGTATGTGCAACTTACCATGGAAGATAATGACACCTCCTCTTCCAGCAATCACAGATCTCATGTCTCAACTGTAAGTTCTAAGATGGAAAAAGAACTGAACACTTGGGGAATATGGCCTGTCTGAACCTTTTAGGACATTGGAGTTCAGAGGCATCTGGGCTCAAATCACAGCTCTGACTCTTGCCAGTTTGCAAAGAAAGAGTATTTGAGGTTATGGAGGAATGGGAATGAATATGAACATGTGAACATATTACTACTGACAGAATTACTACTGACAGAATTCCTAAAGATATCTCAGGTCATCCTTACAAAAACCTTGTAGGTTAGGTACTAGCCCCATTATCTCAGCACTTGAGCTTGTCAGTCATGGACACCCACTCCTTCCCCCAGAACCACAGAATATAGCAGGTCTGGAGCTAGTGTTGTGCAGTACAAACAGCCTTGTAACTATTGAGGGCCCAGCCAAAACAAAAACAAACAAACTGGCAGTAGGAGATACTTAACTGCTAGGGACCACTGTTCCACATCCATACATCCTCCCTATCCCTCTCTCTTTCCCTCTCCTCTTCCCTCTCTCCCTTACTTTTTCTTCCTCCCCACTCACTCCCTCTCCCCCACTCCACTTTAAGTTCCTCTCTCTCACTCCTGTGTAGATTTATTAAAGAAAAGTGAAGAAAAAACTCTGAGAGTGGGAGGGGTTCCAAGGAGGAATAGCTGAAATTCCAGTTTTGTAAAGATCATAATTTGAGAGGCAACACAGTGGCTTTTCTCATAATATCTTCGTTCTCTCCAGGAAGGTTAAAACATGGCTCCAGAGGACCCAGATCTCCATGCCAGAAGCTAAGGATCTGGTTTTGGTGGATAGTAAACTTGAATATTTCTTCTCCCCGGGTCTCAGTTTACTGATTGTTGGTGCATGAGTTCTAACGGTAACAAATTTCATTGAAAGCTTTGACATGAAGTATGCCTGACCCCTTTATAGGTATGAGGCATCAAACTCAGTCTGTAAATTACTGCTTATACTAGCGCTCCACAGGTGGTATTTTTCTAAATAGAGGTAGAACTCAATTATCTGAGTTTCAACATAAGGCAGAAGTCTTTTGAGTAAAAGAACCAAGGCGCGAGTGTGTAGTCATGATTATAGAACAGCAAACAGAATTAGACACTATGAGTTGTCCCACCTCCCGCTTAAATTAACTGACCAGGGCGGATTTTCACCCTCAACAAATATGGCCCCTGCCTTGGCTTCATCACGAGTACCCGCACACATAAAAAATGGCGGCCAGCGTCTCTTTTCTTAGTATTACAGGTTCAAGAGCGAAGATTCTGCCCTGAGTTAAGATGGCGTCCACTCATGCTTTCCCTGCCCGGTTTCAGGCCGGTTCAGGGCGGCTTCACCCCGTGTGCCAGATGACCCCGCCCTGTTTCCGTAGGAAGAAGCAAGGAAAAGATGGCGGCGGCTGCGGTTTGAATTCCAGTGGCGCCGCTAGACTGAGAACAAGAGCTGGGTTGGAAGGGGCGGGACCTGGGGAACCGAGCAGGTCGCCACAGCTCGGGGAACCAGTGGCGCCTCCGCAGACACCGGTGCCACCATCTCGGTGTTCAGTAATGGACTCGGGAATGGAAGAGGACATCACCCTGCCTGTGACCCTCAGCGGCTGCAGGTGTGGCCCTGATTTTGGGGTTCATGGTAACTGGGTTGGGGTTCCTATTGATGGTGGTTCTCTCCCGTGAGGCCTTCCGTTTGTTTGAGGATGGTCCCTGCTGCTGCCTGCGTGTGTTAGGACCTGGGGGTGTCCAGCCAGCTCCACATTCGTCTGTGGTATTCTGGAACATACTTTGAGAGAATGTGTAGGATAGGTAAGGGACTTTGTGAAAGACGGGGAGGAGGTGGGACTAATTGGGATTTCTATTAATAGGGGCTGGGTTGGGACCGGGACCCTAGGGCACTTGGTGAATAATTTTTGTTTGGGGGTTTGCATTCATTATGGGGCGTGTAGTTGTTATTTTAAACTTTGGGGGCGGGCACAGTAGCCTCCCAGGACAGAGGCATCAGTGCAGGAGTTAAGATCCTTGGCTGAAGATGGACAGAACTGGGTTTAGGTCCACCCAAAAAAGTGACAATGTGGGTGACCTTGGTAAATTGACTTCTGCTCTGTGAAATGGGCTAATGGTAATACGCACGTATGCACTCACCATAATTGGATGAGAATGAAAAGAAACAATGGCTGCCCAGCAGTTCTCTTGGCAAGTGCAGCAGCTGACACAACAGTGTTGAGAAGGGGGATCAGTGTTACCATCATGACCACTGCTACAAGTTGTGTCTTCTATCCAAAGCCCTTGGGACCAGAAATTAGATTATTTTGGACATTTGGAATAGGTTGTTGGCAAGGGAACTAAACTAGCACAGTGTCTAACTTAATGGATCTGCTAATACTCTCCTTTCCTTCCTCTCCCAGCCTTGATAGGACAGATACTGCATTCATTTCTGGTAATTCGAATCTTAACCTACTCTAGGCCCTCCAGGCAACTTGCTGTCTGCAGGATGAAGTTCTGTAATGTGGCTTCCATGTTTCTCCATAGACTGCTGCATCTGCTTCTCTTGCTTCACCCCCACTGTCTCTCTCTGGTTCCCAACCCTGTCTTTGCCCTATGCCTGATTGCCAAGCTCAAGCTCAGTGTCAGGAATGATCTTGCTGTGTTTCTTGCTGCTGGGCCTGTGCACTTGCTGTTCTTGCTGCCTCAGTTGTCCTTTGTACACCTTTTGCCTTATCTTCCAGTTATCTTTTGCCTAACATCTTCCACTGTTAGGAAACCCTCACTGATATTCCCACCCTTGACTGGACTGTTCCAGGTACCCTCGCTTGTCATTGTCCGAACCTTGTTGACAGCCCAATAGCACTGTCCAATAGAAATACGACCTGTGGTGTGTATTTAATTAAAAACTTCCTTGTAAGCCAGGAATGGTGGTGCTCACCTTTGATGTCAGCACTGGGGAGGTAGAGGTAGGTGGACCTCAGAGTTCCAGGCCAGCCTGATCTACAGAACCAGTTCTAGGTTAGCCCGGGCAATACAGAGAAACCCTATCTCTAAAAACTAAAACAAGAACAAAAACTTTCTGGTAGTCACAATTAAAAAAAGTAAATAAAAAGAAGCAAGTAAAATTCCTTTCTCTATGGTGCTGGAGGTTGAACAGGGGGCCTCACATGTGCTCAGCAAGTGCTTTACCACCGGGCAGCAGTACCATTGGGAGCAAGTGACTTAATAACATACTTTATTTAGTTTGAGATTTCCATATATAATTCTAGAAAAATCTATAAGAAAACTTGTTGATGAGGTATTTTATGCTTTTCAGTCTTAATCTTTGACATCTGGTATGAGTTTTTACACTTAAATTCCTTCTCAGTTGGACAAACTGCGTTTCAAGTTCTAGTTAATGGCCTGTGTATTGGATGATACAGGTGTTGGCTATTAACATATGGCCACCAGATGAGATGGAAACTCGTTTTAGAACAGGAACTTTAAGTCACTGTGAGAAATGATTCCCTGAGGGGCCACTTTTGTCTCCTTGTTATCCGTGGGACCCCTGAAGCTCAGAGAGCTAAAACAAATGGTCTGGGGTCACATAAAGAGTTCATGATAAGTCAGCATTTAAATCCAAGTTTCCTGATTCCAGAACCTGTTTTGCCTTCTGGATGGTCTGAACTAATCAAAGTGAGTATTCAGGAGCTCTTACTGAGCTTCTGGCACTGAACTGGCTTTTCATGA